ATGTAAAATAAACCTCTTCATTCAAAAACAAAACATTGTAAAAAAGAAGGCAGCATTATCTCATAAATGTAAACAAACTTCTTTGTCTTTGTGATTTGGTGAACAAGTAGCACTGAGTGGACTTGTAGGCTCTAAAGTTGTGCATTGTTTTGGTTTTGAATGCAGTTGTGTAACAGAAAACAAAATCTACATTTGTAAGTTACACTTTCCCGATACAAAGATTTCACTACAAGACTTGTATGACAGAAACTGAAAAATACCTTTTCTTAATATTTATATTTAATACTTTATATTATTTTGTTGTAAATACTTAATATAAGTGAGCACTGCACACTGTGTATTCTGTGTTGCAATAGAAATCAATATATTTCAAAAAACAGAAAAAAAATCCACAAATAGTTAATAAATTTCAATTGGCATTCTATGTTTAACAGTGATAGAAATGTAGCCGTGTTAGTCTGGTGTAGCTGAAGCAAAATACAGGACTATGTAGTACTTTAAAGACTAACAAGATGGTTTATTAGAGGATGAGCTTTCGTGGGCCAGACCCACTTCCTCAGATCAATAGTGGAAGAAAATAGTCACAACCATATATACCAAAGGATACAATTAAAAAAATGAACACATATGAAAAGGACAAATCAAATTTCAGAACAGAAGGGGGATGCCGGCGGGGGGGAGGGAAATGTCTGTGAGCTAATGGTATTACAGGTGATAATTGGGGAAGCTATCTTTGTAATGGGTAAGATAGCTAGAGTCTTTATTAAGACCCCCGCGCAAAGTGTTGAATTTTAGCATGAGTAACAGTTCAGAGGATTCCCTTTCAATGCAGTTTTAAAAGGCTTTTGAAGCAGGATGCAGGTAATTAAGTCATTGAGACAACGTCCTTTCTGGTTGAAATGGCAAGAAACTTTTTTCTTTGTGATCCTTTCTAGTATCTGTTTTGTGGGCATTGATCCTTTGGCGAAGTGTCTGAGACGTTTGTCCAATGTACAAAGCAGACGGACACTTTCGGCACATGATTGCATAAATTATATTTCTGGATGCACAGGAATATGTGTTCTTGATCTTATAGCTCACTTGGTTAGGTCCAATAATGGAATCAGCAGAGTGAATATGTGGACAAAGCTGGCAACTGGGTTTGTTGCAACGGAAGGGACCAGGGTTGGTATTAGTGTGGTATGTCCTGTGGTTGTTGGTAAGAATCATCTTGAGGTTAGGTGGTTGTCTATAGGAGACTTTGGATCTGTCTACTATTTTCTTCCACTATTGATCTGAGGAAGTGGGTCTGGCCCACGAAAGCTCATCACCTAATAAACCATCTTGTTAGTCTTTAAAGTACTACATAGTCCTGTATTATGTTTAACAGTGTGATTAAATTTCAATTTAATTGCAATTCATTTTTCTGATTGTGGTGATTTTTCTTTCTGTTAATCATGTGAGCCGACCACGATTAATCCACAGCCCAAGTGCTAAGACTTCATTCATTCACGTTTCTCTAATGGCAGGCTATGGGCAGCACTGGATACTGTCATGTTATTTGTTGCTGTATAGTTTGCAAAATTGGAAATTTCCTGGTACTGGGTTTTCATGAGCTACTTTTGTTATTTCCCATTCTCTCCTGGGTGGGCAGTGCTGTAAAGTTTTGTGCTAGTTCCATGTTTTCAGTTCCAACCCCACTGACACCAGTGAGCAGAGAGGCTCCTTAGAGACGGTAATGGGTGGCTTTCTTTAGCGTTAACCTGTTTTGACAGCCAGAATCCTAAGTGCCAGGCGCAGAGCAGCTGCCTTCGGATGCTTGGGGCTTTGGTGGTGCCTCTCCTCTAGGAAGCTTCCCTTGGAATTTTGGCTGGAGGTTCAGGTGGATTTTGGTTTCATTTGAAGCACTTTGGCCCATCGCTAACACATGGCTGCACCCAGCACCTGGGCTGGCGGTGGACTGCGTGTACCGAAAAGCATAGGGAGCGAGTTATGTGGACCTGTGGTTCCTAGCCCGGGGCCAGCCTCCGCCAAAACTCGCTGCCAACTGCTGCCCTTGGCATCCCCCGGCCCCTCTGCTATCCCATGCGCTCCCCATTCCCCTCCCCGCTGCCAATCCCTGGGCGATTTTAAAATGTCCCGGGGTCACTGACGCCACTACTAGCAGCACAGAAGGGTTGCAGCTTCCCTCTATACCCCAGGCCCTCCAGAGTCTGCAGCCTCTCCCCCACCCTGCCCCCAAATTCCCTCCCTGAGCGTGCACCCAGGGCCCCCATCCCCTACTTCAGCCTAGAGCCTGCGCCCAGCACCCAAAGTCCCTCTCAGAGTCTTATTTTGGGGGGGGGCTCTGGGCTCTGGGCATTCTGGGCACCAACAGGGTGCCCTTGTAGCCAAGAAGGCTAACGTCCTATTGAGGTGCATTAGGAGGAGCATTGCCAGCAGGTCTAGAGAAGTGATTATTCCCCTTTATTCAGCTCTGCGGAGGCCACATCTGGAGTATTGCGTCCAGTTCTGGGCCCCTCATTACAGAACGGATGTGGATGCATTGGAGAGGGTCCAGAGGAGGGCAACAAAAATGATTAGGAGGCTGGAGCACATGACTTATGAGGAGAAGCTGAGGGATTTGGGCTTGTTTAGTCTGCAGAAGTGAAGAGGGAGGGGGGATTTGGTAGCAGCCTTCAACTTCCTGAAGGGAGGCTCCAAAGGGGATGGAGAGAGGCTGTTGTCAGTGGTGACCGGTGGCAGACTGAGGAGCAATGGTCTCAAGTCACAGCGGGGGAGGTCTAGGTTGGATATTAGAAAAAACTATTTCCCTAGGAGGGTGGTGAAGCACTGGGATGCATTCCCTAGGGAGGGGGTGGAATCTTCATCCCTAGAGGTGTTTAAGTCTCGGCTTGACAAAGCCCCGTCTGGGACGATTTAGTTGGGGTTGGTCCTGCTTTGGGAAGGGGGCTGGATTCGATGACTCCTGAGGTCTCTTCCAGACCTGGGATTCTATGATTCTAACAAAATGTTTGCAAACCTACTGCCCCTGCTGAAAAGCTCAGTCCGAGATCTCAGTGCTGTTGAGCAGCCACGAGGGTTTGAAAGCCCCATGGGCTAAAAGGGAGGGTGTTTGACTCAGTGTTTCTTAGGGCTTGCCTATGGGATGTGTGAGTCTGAACCAATGGGATGTAAGCCCAGGTGCACGCTAATCCACAAGCTCCTGCAGTATCCTCACAATCTCTGCTACGCACTGCAAGGTCCCTAGTGCACGTTGGTGTAATTCCATTTCTAAGAGCTCTACGTTAACATGCCCCAGGGAATGGTGAGGGTGCACCAACAGGGTGCCCATGGACACGTAGTGCTCACTAGAATATACACCCCTTTTCTGTGGATTCATGCACCATGAGGGCAAGCCCTGATTTTCTAAACTCCCTCGTTATTTTTCTAGGCCTCTCCCTAACCTCCCTCGTTAACCTGCTCTTTAATCAGGTCCAAATGCAACTTGTTTTTCCTTCTTTGCACCCAGACTGCAAGCAGGGTTGGTGACGGGGATTGTCTGATTTGGACCCTCTCTACCTCATGGCTCGCTTTCCTTCGCACTGTTTACCTTGGTTCTTGCGTGACCTCTGTCTCACGCACCTTGGGGCCTGCTACACACATTGCTTCTGCCTTGGTCCAGGCCTGGTGCCCTAGAGGAAGGGTTTTAGGGTGGAGACTAGGACATGAACTTTGTCTCATGCCCTGCTGCTCTCCTGCTCCTCACCTGGTAGGGAAGTAGGACAGGAAGTCGCCTAGAAGGAAGTTCCTTATTCTGGATTTCATCTTGATTGGGGCTGGTGAGTTTGTCCCAGTGAAGTCTGTGGCTTTACAGCTGTTAGTGCGAGGACTGAGCTAGGCTTTTTAACTCTTTGTTTTCTTATGCTGACCTGGCTACAGTCGGTCCCCTTACCTCTGGGGCTTAGCTGCCTCTCTTACGAGCCAGGTGCAAAGGAAGCCATTGGCCGTGCACGACAACAGCCAGTTTTACGGGTCCGGCAAAAGCCAGAAGCCAAAAGTCCTTGTCGAGCGCCATCTACTAGCGCTGTAGCTGTTAATGCTGCATAGACGGAGCGCTACCCTGTCATCACCAGGGAAACCTGTTCCCCAACTTCCATAGGAGCGAGTTCCTCCCTGAGATGGAAAACACGCTGCCTTGGGCCTTGCAGCGTATCTGCCAGGATTCCTTCTGCCTTATTCATGTATTTAGTGCTACTTGGGCCGGAACGGCCTACCCCAGTAGCCTTCCAATAGTGCTCTGAGGCTGGTGGCAAGTCTGTTATTTCTGACTTGCCTCCTATGAATGGGGAGTCCGACACGGGGGGGTTCTTCGTATGTATGACCAAAGGAGCTGACCACTTCCACGTCCCCCCTCTCCCCAGAGCAAAGCGTGGGTGGGGCCTTGGCAGAAGGGGCACTGCCAGAGCAGCCCTCGGTGCTCCCCCCGTCCTCCGAGCCATGTGGTGCGCCCTGCTCCAGCAGTGATTGAAAGGGCCGGGGGCGCCGCCTGCTGCTGCTTTAGCCACTGCTGTAGCCAGACACCCTGGGCCCCTTTGAATTGCCAAGCGCAGGAGAAGTTGCCCCCTTTGCCTCGTCCTGCATATGGGGAGGCAGATGCTGGGCTGGAGGAGGATTGTCGAACGCCCCTCTTCAGCTGCAGAGGAGGGCCAGTGCTCCAGGTGTGTAAATAACCCGTCCCTCCAGGCCTGATCTGTGCCCTGTAAAAACTAGGGTTGCCAGATGGTTTCAATACCGGACACACGGCGTCACAATCTGCATTCCATCTTAGTTAGAAAATACCGGACGTTTCTATTTTCTCAATTTGTTTCCCAAACAGAAAGCTCAAATACTGGACTGTCCAGTTCAAAACCCGCCGCCTGGCAACCCTAGTAAAAACACGTCACCTGAGGGGCGGCTCTGGATCTGCTGGTGTTACTAGGGCGGCTGTCCTAGTCATCTGCTTCGCGTCTCACCAAGTCCTCTTTTCCTTCCATTTGCAGGCTCCCCTTTGCACAAGCAGGGTCCGGCCTCCACAGCCAGCACCGAGAAGGCAGGCTCGAAGATCACGGAGGTGGGCGATGACTTCCTGGGAGACTTTGTGGTGGGCGAACGTGTCTGGGTGAACGGCGTGAAGCCAGGCGTGATCCAGTATCTGGGGGAGACGCAGTTTGCCCCCGGCCAGTGGGCAGGGGTTGTTCTGGATGGCGTTACTTTGAGTGCCAGCCGCTGCAAGGGATTTTCACACGGCCTTCCAAACTGACCCGCCAGCCCGTGGCGGAGGGCTCGGGCAGCGATGCCCATTCGGTGGAGTCCCTGACAACCCAGAACTTGTCATTGCACTCGGGGACGTCTACGCCGCCGCTCTCCACTCGCGTCATCCCCCTGCGGGAGAGCGTCCTGAACAGCACCATGAAAACCGGGAACGAATCCGGATCAAACTTGTCAGACAGTGGGTCGGTGAAAAAAGGCGACAAAGATTTACGGCTTGGAGATCGTGTTTTGGTGAGTCTGATACCTGTTCCGTGCGCCTTCTAGAACAGGCAGGCCCTGCTGGGAAGCGCTTGCAATCCAGTTAGAGAGGAGGGAAGGTAAAGAGACAGCAGACGGGTCATGAGAACTGGCCAACAGGCATCACCAATGCTGGACAATGAGGTCATGTGATCGTGTAGGCGTTGGGGGATTTTAGAGACATTTTTACACTTCTGGTTCATTCTCCCATGAATGAATAGGGTGGTGAGAGCACAGGTGGCTGGGGGGGGGGGGACTTTGGGAGAGAACAGGCTGGTGGGCAAGAAGAAAGCCGAGTGGTGCGAAGCGGTAAGAGAAGGAACCGAGGTGAGGAAGTAGAAAGCAAGACATTGCGGGGCTGTGAAATACAGAGACTTACTCCTTTCCTAATCCAGCAGTTTATGCTAGGCAGGTCCTTGGTAGGGATGCAGTAGTGTAGTTGATTAACTGATTAGCCAAAGTTTATAGGTTAATGCTACAGACTACACGCATTTCCCTCTTCCTCCCCCCTCCCCCGCCAGTACATTTTTTAGCAGGCTGGCCAGCAGCCTGGCTCAGTCCTGGCTCATGCCGGGTCCAGGATCTACCCCCGCTGCGGCTCTGCATTTAAAATGTATTAAAAGCTAGATGGACAGGCAACCCAGCTCAGTTCTGTATCAGAGGCAGCAGCACAGGGTGAGAGGCAGCCAGTCCGTATGAGGAGCGGGTTTTTAAATTGGCTCCCCTCGTGGATGAGCTCCCAACTGGGACCCCGTACTGCTGCCTCTGAAACAGAGGCAGCAGCGCGCAGTGGCCGGGAGCTCCTCGGGAGAGGGACCAGACTGAACTGGCTGCCAGTCCCGCCCCCAGGGGCTATAGAATAGTTGACTAACCGATAAGAATTCATGAGGTTAATCGACTATTGGATTAACCGATATTTAACATCCCTAGTCCTTGGTGCCTTTGCAGAATCTGTCCCCCAGCTGTCTTGTCACATGTGGTCAAAGCTCTCACCCAGCGTTTGCAGGGAAAGTCTCCTTGCTGCCGCTGTGCCTTTGTGCCTCAGTGCCCTGGTGCTGAGCTGGAGAGACCTGGTACCTCTTCTTCACAGCCCCTTCGCTGGAGCTGGGGGGGCATAGCACGTCTGCAGGTGAGGCACAAAGCATTTCCATGGGGGCACCCAAAACAAGTGGCCGCTTTTGAAAAGGTTGCTCGTAATTTTTTGGGTCCATTCTTGTTTGCGCTACCCCTGTTCTACAGGGGGTTGTAACAGCCTCACCTGAGCGCCTTCCTGCAGTGCATTAAACAGTGTGACCTAATATCTGTCATAGAATCATAGAATAATAGGACTGGAAGGGACCTCGAGAGGTCATCGAGTCCAGCCCCCCGCCGTCAAGGCAGGACCAAGCTCCACCTACACCATCCCTGACAGATGTCTATCTAACCTGTTCTTAAATATCTCCAGAGAGGGAGATTCCACCACCTCCCTTGGCAATTTATTCCAATATTTGACCACCCTGACAGTTAGGAATTTTTTCCTAATGTCCAATCTAAACCTCCCCTGCTTCACTTTAAGCCCATTACTCCTTGTCCTGTCCTCAGAAACCACGAGGAACAAATTTTCTCCTTCCTCCTTGTGACCCCCTTTTAGATATTTGAAAACCGCTCTCATGTCCCCCCTTAATCTTCTTTTTTGCAAACTAAACAAGCCCAGTTCATGAAGCCTGGCTTCATAGGTCATGTTCTCTAAACCTTTAATCATTCTTGTCGCTCTTCTCTGTACCCTTTCCAATTTCTCCACATCTTTCTTGAAATGTGGCGCCCAGAACTGGACACAGTACTCCAGCTGAGGCCTAACTAGTGCAGAGTAGAGCGGCAGAATGACTTCACGAGTTTTGCTTACAACACACCTGTTGATACAACCTAGAATCATATTTGCTTTTTTTGCAACAGCATCACACTGTTGACTCATATTCAACTTGTGGTCCACTATGACCCCTAGATCCCTTTCCGCCATGCTCCTTCCTAGACAGTCGCTTCCCATCTTGTATGTATGGAACTGATTGTTCCTTCCTAAGTGGAGCACTTTGCATTTCTCTTTATTAAACCTCATCCTGTTTACCTCTGACCATTTCTCTAACTTGCTAAGGTCATTTTGAATTATGTCCCTATCCTCCAAAGAAGTCGCAACCCCACCCAGTTTGGTATCATCTGCAAACTTAATAAGCGTACTCTCTATCCCAATATCTACATCATTGATGAAGATATTGAACAGTACGGGTCCCAAAACAGACCCTTGAGGAACTCCGCTTGTTATCCCTTTCCAGCAGGATTTAGAACCTGAGGTCACATGAGGTTCTTCCTTCTTCTACTCCCACTGGCAGGGGTGGGGAACTTAAGGCCCAGGGGCAGGTTTAACAGGTAGTTCGAAATAGGGCTTTATTTTGAACGCCTGTTTCACTGCCGCGTGTAGACGCGGGCAGTTATTCCGGGCTCGTAAATTTCAAAAATTGCGCCTGGCCAGGAAGATGCAAATCAAGCGCGGGATATTTAAATCCTGGGCTTGACTGCAATTCTGAATGCCTGCATTTGCAGCCTTATTCCGAAATAGGCTGCAAGTGTAGACTTGCCCTGAGTCTGCAATTGAAAAGGCAGTGTCTTAGCCCAGCCAAGCCTGTGAGATTTGCAAAGTGGTTCTAGGCTCAACGAGTTGAATCCTGGAAATGAACACCTTGCTTTAACAGACACCTAAAGGGGGAAAGGATAAAATGAAATCGATTGTACGGTTGCGTAAATCACAATTCAAGGGGGTATGAATGTGATGGTCCATTTTAACTCTGGAGCCAGGTCTGTCTTGTTTCTTCCCGGGGGTAAGGAGGGGAAATAAGCGTTTATCATGAGGCCAAATGTCGGGAAGAATTAAGCAATGGGGCACGAAATCTTCTGTGACAGAATCCCCTTGCATTGCTGCTAGACTCAAAGATATAGGTCATTTTCACAGACAGAGATAACAGGTTCCGAAGTGGCCATCCTCTGTAAGTCCTAAGCTGTCTCTTTACCATTTTCAAGTTTCAGCTACTGCATTCTAGCTGTCTGGTTTTTCTGCCTTTTGGCACCTGGTTGCTATGGAGATGGTTGCACTGGAAAGCATAGATAGATTTGCCTGGGCAATAATGCAGTAGCAGCCAATGTTTTGAGTTCTCCCCTGTGCTTGTATAGACCATTTCGGGATGAGTAGGAGGGTGAATCTAGAAAAATCGACCTCAGGACTCAGTTAGGAACAATGCTCTCCCGTTTCCTTGCAGTTAGGGGTCTAAACCTCTTTCCAAGCCCGTGTTGGTTTCTGCCCTGAAAAAGCTTGTCTGCACATGAGCTAGGTGAGCTATTTCTAGCTATTGATGTATCTGATAAAGAGCCCTCTTAGCTGTGTGAGAGAGCTGCCAGCAGCCATTGTGTTTCTTAATTTGTTTGTCAATGGCAGGCTAGTGTGTTATGTGTGGGTAGGGTGAGCTCTGGGTGGCTTGTGGGCTACTCACTATCAATATAGCTAAGTCGTATGCTTCCCAAGTGGCTGGCTGAAATTTTTACAAACCAGCAGAGAAGCTATTGAGGAAAGAATAGTTCTGTTCTGGATTTGTAAATATAGCTCCAAGATACTCCCGCTTAAAAACTACTTACTTACAAATAGAAAAACTTAATGTTAACAAATTACCGGGACCGGATGGCATTCACCCAAGGGTTCTAAAAGAACTCAAATGGGAAATTGCAGAACTGTTAACTGTGGTTTGTAATCTATCCTTTAAATCGGCATCCATACCTACTGACTGGAAGATAGCTAAAGTGACACCAGTATTTAAAAAGGGCTCTAGAGGTGATCATGGCAATTACAGATCGGTAAGTCTAACATCGGTACCAGGCAAATTAGTCGAAACAATAGTTAAGAATAAAATTGTTAGGCACGTAGAAGAACATAATTTGTTGGGCAAAAGTCAACTTGGTTTCTGTAAAGGGAAATCATGTCTTACTAATCTGTTAGAGTTCTTTGAAGGGGTTAACAAACATGCGGACAAGGGGGATCCAGTAGATATAGTATACTTAGATTTTCAGAAAGCCTTTGACAAAGTCCCTCACCAAAGGCTCTTGTGGGATAGGAGGCTCAATCTTTCATGGATTGAGAACTGGTGGTTAAAAGACAGGAAACAAAGGGTAGGAATAAGTGGTAAATTTTCAGAATGGAGAGGGGTAATTAGTGGTGTCTCCCAAGGGTCAGTCCTAGGACCAATCCTATTCAACTTATTCATAAATGATCTGGAGAAAGGGGCAAGCAGTGAGGTAGTAAAGTTTACGGATGATACTAAACTGTTCAAGATAGTCAAAACAGAAGCAGACTGTGAAGAACTTCAAAAAGATCTCACAAAACTAAGTGATTGGGCAACAAAATGGCAAATGAAGTTTAATGTGGGTAAGTGTAAAGTAATGCACATTGGAAAAAATAACCCCAACTATACGTACCGTATGATGGGGGCCAATTTGGCTTCGACAAATCAGGACAGAGATCTTCTTATGTTCTTATGTTGAGAGGGCTGCTTCAGTCCTCAAATCAGAACCGCCCTCGTGCACATGTGTAAGTCTATTCCAGAACAGCGCAAAAGCACGTGCATTTCATTAACTTCATGCACTTAAGTGCTAACCCACCTAGGAATGCTTTCTGAACAAAGGCCTAAGAGGGCTCTCCTCTAGAAACTTTGCCATTGGTATCCATCAGGGGTGTGACTTTTTAAAGGGTGGTTTTTACACCTGCAAAGAGCAGTGGCTAATGGGTGTAACCATGCTGATGTCTTTCTCCTGCTGCAGGGGATGCTCCCATATCCTCTGGAGGATTCTCCCCTAGAACTGAGTGTCGTCATGATGGTCCGGCCTTGCTGCCTGACCTGCCTGTGTCAGAGCAAGAGACCCAGTGAGTGGGGTGCACTGCTCTGCTCACCGCTCTCGGCACCTATTCCGTGGTCGAGAGA